AATAAAATATAAAATAAAATAAAATAAAATAAAATAAAATTTATATCAAGAGACTACGCCTATTAAGTTTCTTTTAAAATCACAACCTAATTATAAACAACCTAACGATAATATAGAAAACCTAATGTATACTGACGATAATGAATTTTTAAGTTGCATGTTTGGTACAACTACTACTAACCCTTTAAATGAAGATGAAATTGAAAAATATTTACAGATAAAAGAAATTTCCTGAAAGTTTGATTCTTTTAATTGATGAGATAGACAAAAAGATAAGTTATCACAACTATCATTTTTAGCAAGAAAATATTTTAGAATACTAGCTACCTCTACGCCTAGTGAAAGACTTTTTTCAGCAGCAGAAAATATGATGTCTGCTAAACATACTAGGCTTAATCCATCTTTGTTTGAAAAAATGCTATTTCTCAAACAAAATATGCCTTTATTAGAAGAAATATTTTATTAAAAAGTAATGTATTAATGTTTATTATATGATTATACTATTATGTATCATTATATCTTTCAAAAAACATATATGTTAAAGATACTAACCTGGTCTTTGATATTAGCCTGCATTAAATCTAAATAGATAAGCGAAATAAAATATAACTAATATATAGATTGTTAATAATTGTTGAAAATATGATAGTAGCTTGGTTGAGATTAAAATTATCTTTATTATCCAACTACTAACTCTGCATATATAGGTTTTAAATTACTAAGCATTGCTGTATAAAAAAGAAACTTAATAGGCGTAGTCTCTTGATATAAATTTTATTTTATTTTATTTTATTTTATTTTATATTTTATTTTAGGTTTTTATATTTTATTTTTAGTTCTATATTTTGGTATTAGTAATTTAAATAACAGAAAATAAATTCAAAAATAAGCTTATCACTTTTTATGTAGTATGATATTATTATCTTCCAGTTGTTAATAAATCAGATCAGTTATCAAAAGTGTCAGTAACCTTTAATTATATTAATAGAATATTAACAAATAGTATAAATAATTTTAAGCAACTAATAGTTGAAAAGTAATAATGGCATTAACCAATTAAATTATATAAATATGTATATAGTACATATAAAAAAATGAAACTGTATGCTTTTAATATCTATGCGAGCCTGATATGTTTGAATCAAGAGATAGATTTATTTAGCATTAGTATTAGGATTTAGCGTCAAATAAAAAATACTTGCTACTGTTAGACTATTTGAAGTTTAAAATTTTGTTTAACATTCTCTCCTCACCACTTTCAGAATAATTTATTATTGATCAATAAATTATATAACTCTAAACTAACCAATAATTATAGAGTTTTTTTTAATTTGATTTTACCCCACACTTAAACCTTGAATAACTTCAAATAGCCTTATTAATAATTAATATGAGAGACCAACATGAGGCCTGATCTGATAAATACCATAGGCTAATTTTTGATTACTAATCAAAAACTATTCAATCACCTAAAGTTGGACCAAATCTCACGTTGGTTCTTTACAAATATTATAAATCGGATATAAATCTGGATATTAATCTAATTTGGTCA